TTGTGGAATAGTTTGAAGAGAATTGGTATTTTGTCTTTCTTGAAGGTCTGATAGAATTCTGCACTAAAACAATCTGGACCTGGGCTTTTCTTGGTGGGGAGACTTTTAATCATTGCTGCTATTTCCTTAGTGGTTATAGGACTGTTTAGATGGTTTATTTGCTCCAGATTTAACTTTGGTACCTGGTATCTGCGAAGGAAGTTGTCCATTTAATCCAGATTTTCCAGTTTTGTTGAGTATAGTCCTTTGTAGTAGGATCTGATGAATTTTTGAATTTCCTCAGTTTCTGTTGTTATGTCTCCCTTTTCGGTTCTGAATTTACTAATTTGGATACTGTCTCTGCGCCCTCTTGTTAATCTGGCTAAGGGTTTATCTATCTTGTTGATTTCCTCAAAGAATCAGGTGCTGGTTTTGTTGATATTTTGTATTGTTCTTTCTGTTTCTATTTGGTTGATTTCAGCCCTGAGTTTGATTATTTCCTGCCTTCTACTCCTCTTGGGTATATTTGCTTCTTTTTGTTCTAGAGCTTTTAGTTGTGCTGTCAAGTTGTTAGTGTGTGCTCTTTCCAGTTTCTTTTTGTAGGCACTTAGAGCTATGAATTTTCCTCTTTGCACTGCCTTCATGGAGTCCCACAAGTTTTGGTATGATGTGTCCTTATTTTCATTGAATTCTAAAAAGTCTTTAATTTCTTTATTTCTTCCTTGTCCAAGTCATCATTGAGTAGTTAGTTGTTCAGTTTCCATGTGCATGTGGGTTTTCCATTGGTTTTGTCATTATTAAAGGCCAGTCTTAGTCCATGGTGATCTGATTAGGTGCAAGGGATTATTTCAATCTTTTTGAATCTGTAGAGGCCTGTTTTGTGACCAATTATATGGTCTAATTTGGAGAAAGTACCATGAGGTGCTGAGAAAAAGGTATATTCTTTTGTTGTAGGATGAAATGTTCTATACATATCTGTTAAGTCCATTTGGTTCATAACTTCTGTTAATTTCAAAGTGTCTCGGTTTAGTTTCTGTTTCCATGATCCGTCCATTTCAGAGAGTGGGTTGTTGAAATACCCCACTATTATTTTGTGAGGTGTAATGTGTGTTTTGAGCTTTAGTGAAGTTTCTTTTATGTATGTAGGTGCTGTTGCGTTTGGATCATAGATGTTCAGAATTGAGAGTTCACCTTGGTAGATTTTTCCTTTGATGAGTATGATGTGTCCTTCCTTATCTTTTTTGATTACTTTTGGATGAAAGTCGATTTTATTTGATATTAGAATGGCTACTCCAGTTTGTTTCTTGGGACCATTTGCTTTAAAAATTGTTTTCCATACTTTATTCTGAGGTAGTGTCTGTCTTTGTCACTGAATTGTGTTTCTTGTATGCAGCAAAATTCTGGGTCCTGTTTGTGTATCCAGTCTGGTAGTCTGCGTCTTTTTATTGGGGAATTGAGACCATTGATGTTAAGAGATAGTAAGGAAAAATGATTGTGGCTTTCTGTTATTTTTGTTATTAGAGGTAGAATTATGTTTGTATAGCTATCTTCTTTTGGGGTTGTTGGAAGATTACTTCCTTGCCTTTTCTAGGTTGTAGTTTCTCTCCTTGTGTTGGCATTTTCTATCAATTATCCTTTGAAGTGCTGCGTTTGTGTGAAGTAATTGTGCAAATTTGGTTTGCCATGGAATATCTTGGTTTCATCATCTATAGTGATTGAGAGTCTTGCTGAGTATAGTAGTCTGGGCTGGCATTTGTGTTCTTGTATGGTCTGTTTGATGTCAGTCCAGGCTCTTCTGGCTTTTATAATCTCTGGTGAGAAGTCTGGTGTAATTCTTATTGTTTTGCCTTTATATGTTACTTGACCTTTTTCCCTTACTACTTTTAGTATTTTTTCTTTGTTTTATGCATTTGATGTTTTGATTAGTAAGTGACAGGAGGTATTTCTTTTCTGGTTTAGTCTATTTGGTGTTCTGTAGGATTCTTGCATGTTTATGGGCATCTTGTTCTTTAGGCTAGGGAAGTTTTCCTCAATAATTTTGTTGAAGATATTTACTGGCCCTTTAATTTGGGAATCTTCACTCTCATCTATACCTATTATCCTTAGGTTTGGTCTTCTCATTGTGTCCTGGATTTCCTGGATATTTTGGGTTAGGAGTTTTTTGCATTTTGCATTTTCTTTGACAACTGTATCAATATTTTCCAAGGTATTTTCTGCACATGAGATTCTTTCTTCTATCTCTTGTATTCGGTTGGTAATGCTTGTGTCTATGACTCCTGATCTCTTTCCTAGGTTTTCTATCTCCATGGTTGTCTCCCTTTGAGATTTCTTTATTGTTTCTATTTCCAGTTTCAGATCCTGAATGTTTTTTTTAATTCCTTTTTTGTGTTTTTTTTTTTTTGCAGTTCTTCAAGGGATTTCTGTGTTTCCCCTTTATGGGCTTCTACAGGTTTACTTGTAGTCTCCTGTATTTCTTTAAGTGATTTACTTATGTCCTTCTTTAAATCCTCTATCATCATCATGAGAAGTGATTTTAATTCTGAATGCTGCTTTTCTGATGTGATGGGGTGTCCAGGGCTTGGTATATTGGGAGAAGTGGGTACTGATGATGCCAAGAAACTTTTGTTTCTGTTGCTTATGTTCTTGCGCTTGCCTTTAGCCATCTGGTAAACTCTAGTGTTACCTGCCCTCACTGTGTAAGACTGGAGTCCTTATTTCCAGTTATCTTGCTTTTGGCAGAGCTCCTCAGAGTCCAGATGTCTCTGTGGTCTTATGATCCTTATCTCCTGGGTTGAAGGACTCCTGGGACTCAGGCCACCTCTTGTATCTGGAAATCCTTCAGCTCTGGGTGCAGTGGTTCCACTAGGATGGCTCAGGATAAGATGTCTCTCAAGTGCAAACCAGCTCAGTGTCTGCTGCTCTGAGTGCAGTGTCTCCTCTAGGATGACTCAGGATTCAGTATCTCCACAGGAGCAGACCAACTCTGTGTCTGCCCCAGCCCAAAGGACCAGGCAGGGGCAGAAGGGAAGTGGAATTCCAGAGGGGTAGAGTTTGAGTATCTGGTAGTTTCTGAGCATCCCTCATTCCCAGGTGTAATTCTGGGGCTTAGGGAGTGAGATGGCGTCTTACTTGCTGCTCTGAGTGCAGTTGCTCCTCTAGAATGGCTCAAGATTCAGTATCACTACAGGAGCAGACAAACTCTGTGTCTGCTCCAGCCAAAAGGACCAGGTAGGGGCAGAAAGGAAATGGAATTCTGGAGGGGCAGGTTTGAGTAGCTGGTGGGTCCTGAGTGTCCCTGGCTCCCTGATGTAACTCTGTGGCTTAGGGAGTGAGATGGAATTCTTACTTGCTGCTCTGAGTGCAGTCGCCCCTCTAAGATGGCTCAGGATTCCACAGGAGGAGACCAACTCTGTGTCTGTCCCAGCCAAAAGGCATATTTATGTTTTTTATGCTCAACAAAAACAATCCAAAAAATGTTCTATGCACCAAACTCCACTGGATATACCATGCTGTTTCAGAAGATACCTGAAAACAAGGTTTACAAGTACATGCCTCCTGTCAGGAATAGAAAAATCAAACGACATTCACTTGGAAGCAATAGAGTTTACTCGAAGAGACAAATAATGTTTGGTCTTATTTGTATCTTGTTTATCAAAAATCATAGGTAAATATATCCATCTGATCTTGTTCACTAATGAGAGAAGATTATATATGCACTTTCATTTTATGTGTAAGATGAGGTTTCAAAAGCCCAAGCCCATCTCTCTCTCTCTCTCTCTCTCTCTCTCTCTCTCTCTCTCTCTCTCTCTCTGTCTCCTATTGGTAGATGAAGATTTAAGTTATTAATTTCCACATTAGGTCCATCCCTGCCTGCCTGCTACCTTGTTTCCCACCAGGTTAGTCTTGGACTGATCCTCTGGAACAGGGAGCTCCCCAATTAAATTATTTTTTGATAAATTGCTTTGGTTATAATATCTTATCACAACAATAGAAAGTTATTAAATAAATGATAACTAAGGTATTATCTATAGGCACAGAGATGTAAAGCATAGGGAAGAAATGGATGGCATAACATAGAGCTTCCAAAAAGGGAAAAATAGAAGAGATATTATGTGTTACCCTTACATTATCTGTATACTCAGAGCCTCATCCAAGCTCTAACAACAATGTGACAAATGGCAAAAATGACAAACATATTATCTGTATGATCATGAACATGCCAGACTTTTCCTTTACCTATTAACCTAGTACTGATAACCTACCTCTAAATCTCATATTCTTGCAAGAAATTACATGTAACCTGGGTTGAATTTCTATGTAATAACACTTCTTTGTGTACCATGGATTGTATTACATCAGGAAACATTTTTCCCAAACTATACTATGTTTAAATTTCTTGGGAATATACTGAGTGAGATCAGACTCCCCAAGTCTGATTCAGGTTGAAGAAGTCAATTTAAATTGAGTTTTCTTCATCACCTCTTTGCAGTTTTCTTACCTGTCTGGACACTGGTGGGATCTCCCTTATTCAAAGGGAGGAAGACTGAACCTTCGAATTTGAGTTATCAAAAGTTAGAAATCAATTGAGTGTTATGTCTCAAATGCAAATCTTCTGGATGCTCTTAATCACTAAACTATTTTCACAGATTTTTTGCCCAGTATATTAGTCATATAAATAAACAAATTTTTCGTGCCAAAAATAGCTCCACCTGAGGGGTGTGTGTGTGTGTGTGTGTGTGTGTACAACCATGTTGAATGAATCCATAAATCTGCTACACATAAACAGTTTTATTTGTTGTTCCTTTTTTATTACTCATGTAAAGCAGTACCTTGTTGTATACTAGCACAGGGGAAAAGGACAGGAATTTAGGACATAGAAAAGTTTCCATGACTTCTGTACAGAAACATCCCATTGAATTTTAAGCCCAGGCAAAGTGAAACACTAAGCATCTGAGCAGCTGGAAATACCAAAATGAACAGTTGCAACAGCCAGCATTCTCACTTCTGCTTTCCTGGGTGGTTTATGTTAAGGCTTGAATCACTGTGAGAGGAGTACTATAACCTTGTTGACAGTAATAAGTTGCAATATTTTCAGGCTGCAGGCTGTTGATCTTTAGAGAATATTGTGTGCCAGATCCACTGCCACTGAACCTCCATGGCACACCATCTGCCAAGCTGGTTGCAACATAGATCCGTAGCTGAGGAGATTTCTCTGGTTTTTGCTGATACCATGCTAAATTCTTGTAAATGTTCTCACTTGCTTGACAGGAGATGGTGACACTTTCTCCCAGAGATTCAGACAGGGATGCTTGAGACTGAGTCATCTGGATGTCACATCTGGCATCTAAGATTGAAAAATTGAAAGCAAATCTCCACATGATTAATTCTGTTGTAACAGGATTTTCACTAAGACCAAGCAGCATTGACTACAGGAAACTGAATAAATTTCCAGTTCTGTCTTCCCCACCAGTAAGCCACAGCAACAGCAATGCCAGGAGCTGAGTAGGCACACCCATGTCTGTGTATGATCTGTGTGAGGCTGACTCACACAGGGTTTGACCTGACTATGAAGAAGTCCTCATGTCAGTAGGCTGTGCTTTGGGTACATGCAAATCACCAAGAGATAGTCACAGCATCAGGAGTCATCAGGTCAGTAGCTCAAAACAGATCTGTGTATCTCTTATGTTTCAAGTTGAGACACAGTACAGGTTTATTTGTAGGGAATTTGCTTGTGTTTGAACCACAAACAGCAATAATCTATGAGTGACACCTTATTTTGATTTCTGTCATGTTCTATGTAGAGTTTCTTTGTGATGTTTTTCTACATGTCAGGATGTTTCAGATATTGAACTATTCAAGGCAGTACATAACTGGTTCCATTGTATTTTCAATGTTAACTGTAGACTTTGTTGTGCCATACAGCTTCTATTTTTTTTCTCCTATGTTTGTTTGTGATCTTGAATTTTAGTTACAATATTTTTTCCCTGTCTTTCACTTATTCCAAGTCCCTACCTACAAATTTGTCCCTGTTCTCTTTCAAACTCATGGCCTTTTTTCCCATTAATTGTTTTTATATACAATTGTGTATTTGTATACAAGCACACACACACACACACACACACACACACTTAAACACAATTCCTTGAGTCCATATAATATTATTTTATGTAAGTTTTCAGGGCTGTCCTTTCAACCTAGACAAAAGTATACCTAAGAAGGAGTACCTCTTCTATTGTCACCTTTACCTGCTTCAGGCAGGGGGAGGGAACTGGCTGGGAGCCCATGTGTGTTCAGAGAAATTTCTAAAGTACACAAACACTGAGAAAAATCGGGTTGAAAATTTCCCATTTAAATGAATGGAAACACAGGGACTGGTTTTGTAGCAACTATCATTTGTTCATAACTATATATCATGATTTATTTTTAGAGATCCCTGTACTGGAGTTTTATGAAGATGCAGTTAGCCACCTGAACAACCACCATTCTTGGTATGCATCATGCATTTATACTTTAGTTCATGCCATAATATTTGTTAATATCTGAGCAGATTTTTAAATAAATTATACTTTAATTATTAAAACCCAACAGGTTCAGAGTCTGGAAATTCATGTAAAAGTTTGATCAAAAATTTACTTTGTCTAACAGAATATTGTAATCATGCTCCTACTAACTTCAAAGTTAAACAGAGATCAAGAGGAAATTAGACTGTCTCTAGCTTCTCCACAAGAACAACACCATCATTCTCACCTTCATTAAAGACTTCTTTGATTATGTATCCAAGATTAGAAAAACAATGAAGGGAATTTTAAATAGATGCTCACATTGAGAAATAATAGCTTTAGAGTTGTTGAGTTCAAATGAATTGTAACATATGTTCTTCTGAGCATTCAATTCTAACTACATGATTACTTTCCCTTCAAGATGATGAAGGGTCATCTTTTATTGTTTGTGTTAGTCATATACTTCTTCCTTCATAAAGAAATATCTTCTATTTTTCTTATGAAGATAATATTTCTATTTCAATAGTAAGAGTACTAAATTATTTGTGCTATTACATAAAGGAAACAACTAATCACATTGGTCAAAGAGCTCACTGTGGATAAAAAATGGGTTATGTCCCTCAGATAAGTCTTGAAATTCGTGTTTGATTTTCAAGAGACCCTCACAATCCCAATAATAATTTTCTTGGACAAAGTGAAAATGAGGGATGTCCAATCTTTTTTTCCACTTATTATATACCCAATGGAAGTTTGGTATCCAGGAAAGACAGAAGGTAGCTTTAGATTCTTTGGGACGGTGCTTACACATAGTTGTAAACCACCATGTGAATATTGGTAATTGGATCAATAAAATGCTCTTATATGATAAGCCATCTTTCTATTCCCTTGTGCTTACTATTTTAAAATTCATGTCAATTGCGTTCCCTCCAGTCATCTCCTGTACTGTGACTACAGTGAAATTCTAATGGAACTGGATACTCCTGAACCAGGAAAGTCTGTTACTAGATGTCAGAGTTCTGAGAGATTCTTCTTCCCCTTTTCGAAAGACAGAGTAATTGCTAGATAATCAGGACTAGCAGGCTAATTGTGAGTGTAGTCATTTCCTAGAGAACTTTGAAGGAATTAAACAGGGACTTAGCGATCTTCCTGGGGGCCAAGTAGTTCAAGGGTCTAGGGACTGTGTATTTTCAAGTGTTAAACTCCAAGACTAGTAATGGTGACTGGAAAGATGTGAGTTAGTCGTATCATCTTCTGCTAAAATCGTCAAAATGAAGACAGGGCTAGATATTGCCTATTTTGGAGTCTAGAAACAAAGCTTCATTCACAATGATCAGTGAAAAATACTAGTGTGACTAGAAAACAAATCGTATGTTGAAAAACCCAAACTTGAGCTGTTCTTTTCTACTAGCAGTTAGAGACACATAGACAAATAATATCCTCCGAGCCAGACACAGGTACACACACTCCAATTCATGTGATCATTAAAGAAACATTAACAAGAAAGTTTTAAAGATAGTTTCAAAAGTGTCTTAAGTGTGTTAGTCCTCTACATACTTCCCATCATAGGATGAAGTTACAATGTAGTACTTTATAGTAAAAATGGCACCAACTCATGTAATATAAATTCCTAAAAATAATAATTGTTGAATGTCCTACATAGTTTTAAAACAATGACATACTTTGGGGGTTGGTGTTTCCTTTTGTTATCACAGAGCTACCTGTGATGTGAACATTGCTGTTCCTACTCAGCATCAGGGAGGGATACTAATACTACACAATGATGTATAGTTAATGGCAAAATACATTTAATTAGAAATCAAATTTCTGTTAAAATGTAGTATTTTAGGCACCTTATTAAAGATAAAAATTACTTGGCTGAATCACTGTATGTAGAAAAAAAGTAAGTTGAGGACCACAAAAATCCCACAGACAGCATCAAGACATAGGCTATTGTGGCATAAATGTTGATGGCTTTTATTAAAAATGACATTTTAAGTATAATAGCTTGGAACACAACTTCAGTATAACATATTCAAGAATTGATGGATGAGTAGTCTTTCTAAAGAAATATGACCTTATAAATCACCTGAATAAATCAGATGAGAGTCTGGCTTTTATTAGGACTAAATTCTAATTCGCTAGGAAAAGGAAACAGACAATCATCTTGTAAGGTTTACTGTTTTGTTCCACAGCCTTCTGGACACTGTATTGTCACAAGAAGAACACTAGAAACAAAAAGTCTCTGTGGAATGTCTCTACACTTTAACTGAAATTAAACGTACACTGTAGAGACTTCTCTGAGATTCTCCATCTCCAAGAGCGGCTAATTTTGGATTCGCAGAACTGCTAATTTTGGATGCCTAAAAGGGAGACAGATTGCCAAGAAGGAATTCTATTTGTACAATTCATCAACATGGAATTTGTTTTTACATGATTAAATCTAGGTCTCTTATATTATCTTACTGTTGATCACCGTTCTTTTGATCTGAAATAAGATGTAAGAATTGGGTTGGGTTCTATCACGATTTTTTTTGAAATCATAATCACATACTTCTCCTACTTCCTTTTTGTCATTCCAGAAATTATAATGTATCCTTCTTGTGTAGACACACTACACACACACACACACACAAACACAAACTTATAATAAAATACTTTGAAAATATTCATTTTTTCTCAGCACATGTTTGGGTGTTTTTCCAGCCTGTGTGTCAGTGAAACACATGTGTGCTGCTGCATGTGAAGGCCAGAAGAAGGTGATATTATCCCTCTAAATTCTACTTACAGATGAGTGTGAGCTTACACGCCAAGTTGGGTCCTATGCAAGAGCAACAAATACTCGTAACTGCTGAGCCATGTCTCCAGCCACAGATGGTAAAGTATATAGGCAAAGAAACATTGTTATTTTTGGATAGTGACAAAAAATGCTTAATATAATGTGAAAATAACAGTGCTGAGAGGTTATGACAAGTGATTTGATATTTATTTGTATTTCCGATAATTATGTTTAATAATTATTTCAAATGAAAGAATTCCTTATGGAAATGCTGTTAGAAAAAAAAAAGACCTGCAAGAAGAGGTGAAGCCAAATTCTATATTTACTATTGCTCATTTAAAAATGATGCTCTACCTAATCCTAATAAAATACAAAGGACTTTATACTGAAACTTACATCCATAGCAATATTGAAAAATGAGCCAAAATTTATTTTATAATAAAATATATCATTGACAGAAAAAATCCACAGCGAAAATTCAATATTCTGTTCTGGCTTAAGATACTCAGACTAAGCCCAGTTAAGTTAATAAAATAAAGAGCCTACATCCATCTGTGCCCAGCCCTGTTCAGGCTCCAAAGATTTGTATGTGTCCACTGCACTCACCAGAACTTCTTAATAGTCTGATCACACCTTATTTAGAAGTCAGTCAATGTCAGGTCCCAACACAGACATGAAGTATCTCTCTCAACTTCTGCTGACCGTACTGTTATGGATCCCAGGTAAGGAAGGATGTCATTGGAAATTCATTTGGCCCCTTGAAATCAGTGCTAACTGGAAATTCAGATAAAATATTTCTATCATGATTAACCATACATATTGGTTGTATGTTTCCAATCATTGGCCTAATATGTGACATCCAGATGACACAGTCTCCATCCTCCTTGTCTGCATCTCTAGGAGACAGAGTCACGATTACTTGCTGGCCAGAGAAGGATATTTATGTTTGGTTAGTCTGGTATCAGCAGAAACTAGGGAATGTTCCTAATCTCCTAATATACCATGCATCCAGTGTGGAATCCAAAGTTCTTTCAAAGTTCAGTGGCAGTGGATTTGGGAAAGATTTTACTCTCACCATTAGCAATCTACAGCTTGGAAAGGTTGCTACTTATTACTGTCAACAGTATTGTAGTACCCATCCCACCATGAAACAAGCCAAGACATGAAAGACCAAAGAATGCAGCAGAGTCCCCAGCTTCCCCTCTTGTTTCCACCTGCTAATATTATTTCTCAGATACCA